GCAGTTCACATTTATTATAACAAATTTAAAACCCTCATAATCTAACCGTACAATAAGGACACAGCGTTTTGTGATGTAGTTTAAGGTGTAGCTTCTGAATTTCATACATATCAAAGTTTTGGTGTAAATACATTATCGTTAAATCCCAGTGCTGCCACCAGGCAGTGCCAACTTTAAATACCTCCGCGCCGCAGCAGACCTGCAGACTAAGCGAATTTCAATTTGCCTGTTCTGATTTTCAATTAAATATATTCAAATGACATTAGGTTTAACGATTACATAGGTTTGCTGCCTACAGAGAGCGTAATAAAGTGTGTTTTATAGTAAAATATTAATAGCTTAGTATAAAATAAATAGATTTGCCGATCCAAATAGGCCTATATCCATAAACAAGCAAACTACAACAGTTTCCTTGACATTTTGGGAAATTTTTTGTTTTGAGGATCAAAAACGAGAAACCCCGGTTTTTACCCCATAAATCCCCCCCATAAGAGTCCCATGGTTTCCATGGTCCGATCATGCTGGTTCGCGAAATCGTTCCAATAAACGTAGGTTTGCACGTTTGTACCAAATTTCATCGAAATCTGATAATTTTTGCTCGAGTTATCGTGCTAACGGACACAAACTCACACACACACAAACACACATATAAATATATATGAATTTGAACATATGATGTTTTTGTCTTCTTGGGACATCAAAATGAAAAAGTAAATTGGTCCTGGGTCCAAGTCTTACCATGAGACCTACGATAATAGCTTATTCCCTATATTGGAAATTCGTTAAAAACCTCATCGTGTTATTGGATCGATTCTTATAGGTGACCTTCAAACCCTTAACTTCAGGCCAGTTTAAGTAGCTAACACTATTTGTATTCTTATTTACACAGATTTTGCAACTATTTTTGATTGACAAACTATGTAGTTTAGATTTTATGTAGTTTTTTTCATTTAAACCTTTTCTGTACATTGCATCAAATCTTATGATGACGAGTTAATTGCAATGTTTTTACTCTCCGACGCTAACCAGTTTTTGCCGCATCATAACTCCATAAACGGATTACAACCCAGTAAGACAGTGTCTGAAGAAAACTTGGACATTAATCTTGGGAATTCGCTGACAACCTTAATTAACTTTTGTTTGTTACAAACTTCACGAGGACATTTAATGGAGAATTCTATACATACTGAAGTTTGTGCTAAATTTGTTTTGGACTTTTTTAGCAAATATGTGCTATTACCGTCTCGTGGTGTGACTTAGACTTGGAATCGGTTTACTTTTCCGTTTTGAAGTCCTCAGAGGCCAAAAACACCGATCTTATTCATATACGTTTTCAATTTTGGTTAAATTTAGTACGACCGTGTACAAAAACGTGTAAACCTTATTTTAATGAGTTCGTGAACCAGCGTGACCCGAGTATTTATCTATTTTATCCAAGCTATGAACAATATACTAACAACACACACTCTTTGCCCTCGCCTAGGAGAAAACCTACGTACTCATTAAACTCGATGTTACTTAAATAGGAAATAAATTAAACAATATAAAGGAAACTTATTAGTTAAAATCCATCAGGGTAAATGGGAATTCGCTTAGTCTGCAGGATTTCTTTAATGGCCGTATTTGCTTTTATTTTGGTGAAATATGGACGATAAAATAAATATATGATGAAATAAAAGGAAAAATTTAGTTTTATTTTTAATTAAAATTCAAGAGTTCTATCAACAAGCACAGTTAGATCTTTAGTAGATCCTACACTGGTGGTCAAAAATACCGCTAAATTTAAATTTATTTTGTTCAGTTTCGAGTTCTAAAACATTTTTCCAAAAATATATGAACATTGCTGAACAGTTGCCAAAGGTCTTGAAGAAGTGAAAGTCTTGAGGAACTTGAACATACTCGGTCCAAAACTGAATAAAACTGTAAAATTGTAAATAACAATAATTGTACTAGAACATTGGAAACATAAACTGTACACTCTTAAAGCATTGCATAGCTTTAAGAATTTTAATACACATATTTTGGAGTTTAGAAAAAGTATAATAGCCTACTAATACTATAACAGGGGAATTTAAATTGAAATATATTCAAATGAAATGTATACAATTTATTTGTTTTTAGCTGTGCAGATTGAATGATTTATCAACTTGATCTAAAAACATTTTGTTGTATAAGAACCAAACTCCATTTTGAAAGGAGAGGTTATGACGACGTTTAGGATGAGCCTTGCTAGCTTTATCCCACAGGATATTGGGGAGTTTTTCCAGGAGATTGATGTTCAATGTATGACGTTCTGGAGGGGAAAAGCTTACTAAGGCTTTATACTTCCACATTGAATGATATCTGCTAACACTGTAGATGAAAATTTATATTCGTTTGTCGTGTCGATAATGTATAATATAATCTTTTTCTTGTACTGAGAAATATTTAATTCTGTGTAAACGCCCAATAACTTGTGGTTAAATGTCAAAGGAAGTTCCGAAAATAATGATTAAAATATGAAGATTTGTATTGTTTCTTTTAGTTGGGTCATAATAATTTAAAACTCTAAACTTCTTTACCCTACATGATCTAAAATAAACTAAATATGGATAAAATGTATTTTTGTATCATCAACGTGCAAGGAAATATTTCTACAACTTGATACTTATAATCAAGTTTAAAAATATTTATAAACATTTTATTTGGTCTTTTAGTTAATTAATTCTGTATTAAATTTTAGTTAAAAAATGCTGTGTAAAACGGGGGACAAATAATTTGTGGTTGAATTTCAAACGAAGTTCCCAAATAATATAAAAATATGAAGATTTTTACTGTTTCTTTTAGTTGGGCAATAATAATTTAAAATAGTAAAACGTTTTTACCCTACATGATCTAAAATAAACTAAATATAAATTAAACGTATTTTTTATCATCAACGACCCAAGGAAATATTTCTACAACATGATACTTATAATTAAGTTTTAAAATATTTATAAACTTTTTTTTTATTTTAGTTACATTATTTACCCTCATACTGCACCTTAAACGGAGACTAAAATCTAAAACAACCTCAAACATGGGATGGGCTTTACTACGGCTTTATATGTGGATATCACAACAATCTATTTATTAAATCTAAATTCTTGTTCAAACCTGTACGGTGGTAGCAGTGGCTACTAGATCATAAATTAAATGTCATAGCATGATCTCAAATTAAAAAGTATAATACCTTAGATTTTCTTTACACGATCAGTACAAATAGATAGTCTCTTCCTATGAAACCTAACCTATCGTTTCGGGATTTAAGAAAACTCCTACCGTTCTCAAGTGACCCTATATCCTAACCTTACATTTTAGCTACCTAATTATACAAAACCTCATGAAACTTGGTGTATTTTAAACGCTAGCGATAGGTAAAATCTAATCGTTCTGCATTATAATAAAATAAGTATTCGTGATATTGAAGTTGAGAAACATAATCTATAATTGATTACTTTACCGTGCCAATTACAAACATTTCCCTGATGTAGTTTTAGGAACCATAATCCTCACGAAACTTGTCTTCTATTGGATCTAAAGTTTGGAATAGAGTTTATAATTGTAGTCAAGTTGAGTCAAGCCCTCCTAATCCCCGAGGAGCCTCAAGATTTGACAACCAAGAAGAGCTTAGTAGATAATTAGTTGCTTTAAAGTTGACCTGGAACCAGAACCTTGGAAACAATTTGATCGCAAGATGTATGTAAAACCGAAAAATTTTTGTCCCTATTAAAACGTTTACAATAAATTGTATTTAAATTTAATCTTCAGTTAGTTGCGGATAAAGGTTTTGAAAGCATATGCAAGTAGTAAAGTTGATGAAATTTTAATTTTCAATCAAGTAAAACTAACATTTGATGATATACTGGTGGTCGAGATAACACGAACGAACCTCTTTTGTTAAATCTCTTAACAATTGGGTAATTTAGTTATTTTATTGATAATAAATTTCAAATGGTCTTATTTCACCTGCATTTATACTCACTCTAAATATGGTTACAAAGTTAAGAGTCCTCACAGGCTAGCGGCCATCTTGCATAATTTGAACAGCTGCTGAAGAGTTAATTATCATCCTATTTTTTTTTTTACCAAAATGATTATTTAAATATCTTAAGGACACTGTGTGATTAGAAGTGTTCTTTGTAGTTTTAAATTGTTTTTCAACGGAGTCCATGGAAGCTAACGGCTATCTTGGATTTGTCCGCCATATGAGCAATGTTAATTTCAAGCAGCCTAATTTAGCATTTCAAATTGTTTTTTTAAATACACCCGTTATGGAATGTCTAGTTATATACATAGCCAAAGATTTAAACTAAGAGAATAAACAACTTACACTACAGCAAATGTTTATATGTTTATTACAAAGTTCAATAGTCGTTAACAGATTATGGTCTACAAAATCAAATGATTATCAAATGAAATTCCTTAAATTTACGGTATAACTATTTTTGTAAGGTTTGAAATGATAATATTTTCACTGTGTTTTCTAGTATAATCAAGAAACCTTGAATAGAACACGTCCCTTAAAAATTACAATAACTTTACAAATAAAATTTCTCAATGCATTTTTAAATTTAAAGTAAGATTTTTCAAGCATACCTAAGTAGAGATAAAATACAGGTCAGCAAACTTTCCATATGATAGCCATTCAGCATGAGCGCATAATCTGCAAATCCTTCTTACAATATCTTCTTTGAAATCCTGCCCTCCGTTATAACAGAAATTAAATTGTAACGATTCAAGTGATGTGTTTTCTTATATCTAAAAATGATTTTGTATACTTAATACTTAGAGATGAATATTTTTGACGTAACGCTATAATAATTATTATTTTGTTAGCGTGTTATTTTGTATTAGATGCACTTATATCTACGATCAGGCTTTAATTTATTATATAACTGATAGTCTATTTTAACGTTTAACATTTATATTAGTGTTTATCATTATATTACAATTTAAACTTGATATTTAATTTGTTCCAGATTTATTACAACAATCATCGGCATAAGGTAATTATATAAGTAATATTAATATTTGAGCTAAAACATTTTATTCGTGTTTTCAACTTTAATATCAAGAGTTAAATGCATGCATTCTGCTTTAAGTATAAAGTATCTCACGTTAACATTCCAAAACAATTTAAAACGAGAAAATACGCAGCTATAAAATCTGCGATGGAATTGTGATGTGTAAGATATTTGGAACGCTAAAATACTTCATTCCTTAACTGATATTGAATTTTGGTTTCAAAACAGATCGATTTTATAGAAAAGTTGATAATTTATCAAACTCAAGGTACATTATAGAAGTGTCTTTAGACATTTGTGAAATTTTCTCGTTCTTAGAATCGTTATAATGTTCTCCATAATTATTTTAATGTGAGTTTAATACACGATGTAAAGTCTTTTGATACTCAACAATACAGTTGCAAGCTTTATTTCAATTCCGATTCTTAGCACTGGTCTTAGGTATAAGTCCGGTTGCCAAACCCGATACCCAAATATTTTGGATTAAGTTTTTTTATTTATTTAAGGAAAGTTACACGGACATATGAAGCTTCAAGAAAATGCATTATGAAATTCTGTCAACTTTGGGCAATTCGAGATTTCACCACATATTGAATTTCACACATGTGTTTTAATATTTTTATATAGGGTTGTTGCATTTTATTTATTTTTAAGTACGCTGAGATCAATGAAAGCACTAAAAAGTGTGTAGAAATTGTAACTTCTTAGGAATTGCCACCATCGTGAATTTTTCCAAGTATTTCTTTATTATCTTTATATTGGTTATATAATGTTGTTGTAAATAATTTTATATATTTTTAAGTACGCTGGGATCAATGAAAGCACTGAAAAGTATCTATAAATAGTTATTTCTTAGAAATAACTACATTCAATGTGGATAGAGACCATATTTATGGATTCGGTTACAGTCAATGTGGGATAATAGATATTACTTTAAGACCGGAAACTTTGAAAACATGGGCTTTAAGTTTGCCCATAATCATGTCCACTAGAACTGGAAAGGTTTAGTAAAGGGAGTAAAGATGATATATTAGACACGCACATAGAATAAATGCAGTCTAGAATAATTTCTGGTAGAGAAAAGAAAAAAAAGAGGAGGCTTAGGAAAATAACTTAAGCTCTTCATTGACTCTTTGGTCCCTAGTACTCACCCACAAAATATAGTAAACTTCTGGCTTGGTTCTACCGGATATTGTTAATGTACATGACGTTGGAGCTCAGCAGATGGCAATTAAAATGTTCCAAGACAGTTGACCAACAAAATCTACGCAAATAACTAATAGTGGACTAATAAACATAATAATTTTAACCTCGTAAAGGACTTTACATGGTTCGAAAACAATACGATTTCTGATGCTTGAAAATATTTGAAGAAGCTTACAAAACTTCATTCTATGTGTTATTTAGCCTACTTCTGAAAAGTTTAGTCTAAATATATTACCGGATTATTCATAACAAGGTGTTTCCATAGTCATGTCAAATTTGTACGAAGTATCTCATCGTTATATGGCATCAGAAGTTCTAGATACACGCTACAACAATTGTAATATCCTCAAACATATCTGACTTTGCCAACTGTGTATGATTTCTCCACACCTTGGTAACCAAGTTCTGATAATGATATGACTTAAAGTCTCACCCGAGGTGACATAACTTTGGGTGATAGGAAACTTAACTTTGCACATACTAACATAACTATGTTTATGTGTATTATCATTGACTATGTATACCTACAAAAAGTCAATGGTATTATACAAAGTAATAAGTCAGTACAGTCAGTTTCCGAGTGATATTTGGACGAATAGATGTACATGTAACACATTAATTGATGCCAATACTTTGCTTGAGGACTTCACAAAATTTAAATCCAACAAATGTAGGCCTAGTCTACTTCGATCAAAAAATTACAAAGTGAAAAAGACGTTCCTATAAGTAAAACAATTGATTTCTTCCATGCTACAAAATATAAATAAGTACTTTTTTAACGCATTTATTATCTGCGTTTAATTGCAGACTGTTAAAACCTTATCCTAAAAAATTCTCATTCTTTCTTTTACTCGTTCATTTTTAAATGTGTTAGCAAACTAGTTAGTACAGACGTTTCGTATGTACAGATTGTAAACTTATTTTTATTATAGTTAACCGTCTTACAGTTTTCATGTCTTTGATATTACTTAATTATATAATATACATACGTATCAGTTCATAAAATAAATTAGAAATATTTCAAGCACGTTACTGTTCTTTGTCTTTTTGAACAGACCACGCCTGCCTATGGAACTATAAGTACAAAGTGAACTAACTAGTATTTTGATATTATCGTTTATTAAACAACGTTGTGAACCTTTTCAGAATATTTTTGAGAGAGCCAATAATGATAGTGGGTGGTCAATATACTACTTTACTTATTAAACGGGGGGATACCAGCGTAATTAAAATTAAATAACGAATTCTATCTTCCTTGATGAAAGTACTTTGAATTCAATAATTTAGGAACTGTATGAATAAAAGAAATCCACGCCAAAAGATGATGTTATGTGAGGAAAATATATTCAGTGAGAAGACATAAAATTCCTCTCTTCGCCCAGTTTTACTTCCCTCCACCTTCCACAACCCCAAAATCCACCTGGGTCTACAAACTTTGTCCCTTTTCGTCTTCAAAAATACTTTTGTGTCGAGTTTTCTTAACATATAAGCTGATTCTTGCGTTGATTTATTTCTTTTAATGCTTACCTTATATTATATTATACATTCAAGCAATTAAAGTTTTTTTTCTTTTTTGTTCTAGGATCTAGGCCAGAATTGTTTTTTATATTATTCTAGGTTAGGTCTAGAGGGGTCGCGCCATTATCACTTAGATAAGATCCATTGGTGATTAGCGGGTTTTGAACCCGGGACCTCACGGACCGAAGTTCCATTTCACTCTTGGACCAGCTCGTGCCTAAATAAATAGAGCAAACAAACAAAAACAATTTAAATATCGTAATTAGGTTTATTTTACCTTTAGTTATTTACCTATAAATATAGAATTTGTCAAACGATTCTCAAGCATAAATTGGTTCTAAAAGCACTTCATAGAGTTTTTGATTGGTTTTATAAACCCAAACACCCATAAACGGGACATGAGATTCTACTGACGATTAAATGGCTCAATAAATTACTTCGTCACTGTGAAATACAACTGTGAGTGATTGATGGAAACTTTGATCCCTAAATGTAACAGACGAGCGCGCTTGTTTTGCAAACAATGTTATGAAAATGTGTTTCTCGGTGTATGTTTGAAACAAAACACATCAACCAGATATATATATAAAAGTTGAGGAGTATAAAAGATATTTCATAATTAGTAGTTTGCATTATCATGAACTATATTTTTTCGTTTGCATCATTATAATTCCTAGCCTAATCTAGAAAACGAAAATGCTTTTCATGTTAAACCTCTCAAAACGACTTCCAGCTTGTTTTCAATTTTGCTATTGTAAACAATCGGCTGTTAAGTAAGTTGTTCAATTGTTTCGTCTATAAAGATATCTTTGCTGTGCATTATACAATCGTTATGTTGAACTATTGACAAGAAAGTAACAATAAACTAAATCTTACATAATTAATCAATCAATTAATAATATCGATCCATGAGATTGCTACAATCGAAACTTACAACTGTTTACAACAGCTGATGTACTCCCTAGGGACTAAAATGCTTGAGGGAGTAAAAATTCTACTTTAGACCTGCAACTCATGAATAAAAACTACTGTTTTTGCTGCACTATGATAGAAATTTTTTTTAAGAAAAATTAATGAAAGCATTAAAATTTATAAAATTCAATAATGTCAATTTTAAATCTTTTATAATCATAAAGGAAAGGAAATACTAAAAAAAAAAAAAAACAAACATTCATGGAAATTCAACATAAATAAAAAAGTAGTCTGCGTTGGACCTTGTGGTTAGTATCTCGAAGGTTGACGGCAAGTTGACTGGTTCAATTCCCGGCAAATCCGCAAAATATTGACAAGTACTCTCTTGATACATACAAAATGCCTCTGCAGTAGGCAGTAACATTAAAATAAATATTTTTTCCTGAATAAAGTTTGTCCAGATTTAGCTGGATTTGTTTACTAATCTCGTAATGTTATAGGTATTTTCCAACCCGAGGACGGGATCAGATACCAGATGTCGAAACGTCGTAAAAACTAGTTTTGTACTACTTTTGATGGAAATAGGGTATACTTCCGTATCTGTTGGCACAAACAACCGAATAAAAATATCGATTATTCTATTGGTTCATTCGATATTTCGTTTGGTTAGTTAGGATAGGTTAACCTTACCTAACAAACCAAACGATATATCGAATAATCGATATATCGATCGATATTTTCATTCGGTTGTTTGTGGCAACAGATACGGAAATCTACCCATGTTAATGTCCTAAAAAAATCCTTAAATACAAGTTAAAATTTGTTTCATTTCTTACTGGTTCATTAACTCTTTTAGAATTTGGCCACATTTTAACACCAGAGATAATAAATTGATAAGGGGAAAATATTTATTTATAAATGCCAATTCTCTACAGTGGACGTAACCAATCGCTTTTTGTTCTTTAGTTGTTGTGATTCGTGATATTAAATTTGCTTATTTTCAGTTATAAGGAAATAGCAAGACTTCGTTGTGTAACCATAACCAAGAAATAGGTCAAGCAATAATTGGACTAATACAGCTGACATCTGTTGATATATACCAGCAGAAACTTAATGGATTCTGCACTTAATTTGATGCAGCAATATAAAATAAATCTGTTGACATTATTACTACTGTCTACAAAACTGCAAGCCACTTTTTTATTAATATTAAAAAAATATATTTCCTCGCTCAACTGTTAGCCAAAACTGTTTTGAAGCTTGGATCCAATAGCCAATGCTTGGACTTAAATTATACTTGAATAATAATTTGGTAGCAATTATTTGTCAAAATATTGGACAGAATT